GCCCAGGAGCTGCGGGCAGCGGGGGCCACATGGCGCCGGCGGCGGCGAGCAGCGCGTCCTTCTTGGCCCCCGGCAGCGCCTCATGGTCCTCGGCGGCCACGATCTTCGTCTCGCAGACCATGTCGGGAGGCCCACAATGCATGCACCCGGCCGGGCGGCGCAGCGCAGGGACGCGGGCCGGGCTGCGAGCGGGCTCAGCCCGGGCCCAGGGCAAGGGCGCGGCGCCCTCGGACCCGCGGCGGAGGCGGCGGCGGCGGCGGCGGCAGCGGCGGCGGTCCTAGCGTCCACTGCATTGGCTGCCGAGGGTCACCATGTGATCTCGAGGGTGGGAGCAGACGCCGCCTCCGCGCCCGCCCGATGGCACACTTGGGCGCTGCGCGGCGGCCGGGCGGGGGCGGCGCGGGCGGCCCGGGGCGCGACGGAGCGGCCGAGCCCCGCGAGGTGGCCGGGGACGAACGAGCGAGCGTGCGGCCGGGGTCCCGGCCCGGAACGGGGGTTCCGCGGGCTCCGGGTTGGGCGCCTCCCGCCTGGCCCCTGCGTCCCCGCGCCGCCGCCGCTCAGCGCGGGCCTGTGAGCGCCCGGACCTGCGGCCGCGCCACCGGAGCCCGCAGCCCTCGTCCTCCTCCTCCTCCTCCTCCGCCGCCGCCGGGCGCTGTCACGGAAGCATCTCCATCTCCCGACCCTTTGTCTGAACGCGGCGCCTGGCCGGGGTCCTGGGGAGGGGGCGCCCCGGCTTCCCCGGCCGGCGCCCCTGGGAACCTGCGCCCGGGGCCGCACGGGCTGCAGGCGGGGGGACGCGGTCAGAGAGGGGTCTGATGCCCACGTCGCCCGCAGCCCAGCGCGTCCTCGCGCAGCGCAGTACGCCCCACTCGGATACCGGATCCCCACCGCCGGCGCGGGGATGCGGGACCCACAGGACCCATCCCGACTCGGCCCCCGCCCACCTCGGTCCGCGCATGCGCCCCACGATCTCGGTGCAGGTGCAGGGGGGGCTCTCGGCGCGTGCTCCGGGTCCCTGCGAGCCCCGCTGAAGCTGCGGGCCGGGGGCGAGGGGGAAGGTGGAAGCGGGAGGACAGGCAGTCCCAGGCCCGCCCCCTGCACTTTACGAACCCAGCCCCCTGCATCTCCGAATCCCCTTCCCTGGGTCGCCCCAGTTCTCCGCAGGTGACCCTACAGGGCAGCCTGGAGCTGAGTTCATACCCGCGCAGGTGGAGATGAGGCTTAGGAGTCCAGGTCTGAGGACCCTCAGTCCCCGTTGGGGCCCAGTGAGGCAGCTATGGTCACCTAGAGGACAGGAAAGGGACTGCCCCTCGCGGCGTCGCGCTGAGGGACCCAGGCGGAGTGAAAAGAGGGAGGACCCCGGACCCAGGAGCTGATCTGGGCCACAGGCCGGACCGAACGCTAAGTCGTAGGGGGAGCGCCAGCCAAGCTGGGAAGTCACCCCCACGCTGTGCTTCGGAGATGCCAGGATTTGTCTGGGCCCGGATTGTGACGTTCCAGGAGAGCCAAGGGGGATCACGGAAAATCTCAGAGGCACTCATCCATTCATTCAGAAACCCCTCCACGTGCTGCCTGGGGGCCGAGTGACACTGACCGGACACAGCGGGACTAGGCTCTGAGGCGTCCTGAGGATGGCCAGTCGCACGGCAGGAAGCATGTCCGAGAGGAGAGGACAGCATGCGAGCGGTCCAAGAAGGAAACACCCAGAAGGGGGTGGGGGGGGAGGGGCGGTGATGGCAGCTGGTGGCCTGGAGGCGATGGGGGGCTTCCAAGAAGGCGAGGCTGGGCCCGAGTGCCAGACCAGGGATCAGAAGGACACTCATCATGCTCCCTGATGCGGGCCAGGAGGGAAGAGAGCCAGGCCCACTGTCCAGGAGCTCTTGGGCAGCATCCTGACCCCAGATCCAGGTGTGAAGGGATCCCTCAGAGCAGAGCGGCCCAGTCCCTACAGGGCCACAGCCTCTGCCGGCAATTACACACCCCACCTAATCCCCAGCCCTGAGCGGGAGGCTGCCCCTCCTCCACCCCCAACAGCCAGGCCCAAAGATGGAGGGAGCGGCCCGGGGTCCCACTCAGCGTGACCTTGTGGGGCGCCCTCCCGTCCAGGTGGCCTGACCTCACGCTTCAGCCCCCAGAAGTCCCTGAGAGCCCCCGAGGCCTTGAGGCAGTGGTCCAGCCCCTGGTCCAGAGGGTCCTGGAGAGTGCCAGCACCAGGTGGGGGGCAGGGGCCGGACTCAGCTTGGAAGGGCCAGGGCTGGGCCCCAGGGAGGGCCACCTGGGAGCTCTTGGAGGTCTTGGTCCTGGACTTTAAGGGGCTGCGAGTTGGGGGCGGCCTGAGTGGGAAGAGGTGCAGGCAACGGGGTGGCCCCAAGCCCCGCCAACGAGCCTCAGTCTGGGGCCCAGGGAGGTGGCTGCAGTCACCTAGAGGCCAGGAAGGGGACTGCCCCTCGCGACATCACGTGCTCAGGGACCGAAGCAGAGTGGGAGCGCCAGGAAGCACGCCCTGTGCTGCCGTCAGGAGCCCATTTTACAGAAAACCTGGGGAGCGAAGTCAGGGGTCTGGTCTGTCCCAGTGCTGGGGTGCCCACCCCACCCTGCCCCGCCGAATTCCGCCCACTCCTCTCGCTTTGGCTGCCCTGACCACCCCGAGATTCCCTGGCCTGATACCGCTGCCACAGCCCCGCAGGTCCCTGACAGGGGTGGCAGGGGCCCTTGGTGCAGCAGCGAGACCACCGCCCCCAGACCCCAGAGGCCAGAGTGGGGAGGGCGCCCTGGGCCTCCACTGCTCCTGTGGGGAGGTGGCGCCCAACACGGGCCGGTTCATTTAGCAAAACAGCCCTCCACCCCAGATGAAGAAAGGGACCCACGGGCAGAAAGGGCCTCTGGGGTCACAGGTCGAGGGGGGCCTGGGAGGAGGGACTGGGAAGGACGGCAGAGGCGGTGGGAGTGCAGGAGGGAGTGGACCACAAGGCCAGGGGGTGGGAAGGAAAAGGAACCAGGGCCAGATCAGAACCAGGACCAGATCAGAACCAGGACCAGATCAGAGGCAGCCAACAGGAGCTGCTCCACGAGAACATGAAGGGAGGAAACAAGAAAATAAAGGTTATTATCAATACCATTTCCCCAACCGAAGGACAAAAACTCCTGGTTAGAACTTGTGTGGCACCTTGAGCGGCCCTGCAGTTCTGAGAGCCTCTGGAGGGCAGGAAGGGAGCGAGGCTCCCGAGACCCACCTGCTGCAGGGAGCTGCCGGCCGCTGGACCCAAGCCGCTCACCTCCTCACCAGGAGCCCATGGCCCACCCCCCATCCTTCCCTTCAACACACGTTGGGTGAGTGCCTACTCTCTCTTGGGCCCTCAAAAGAACAAAGCTCGTTCTCCTGGCACTTTAAAAGCCAGGGGGTGGGGCAGGAAATAAACCAATAACAGACATCAACACTCCAGTATCCCTTTGGGACAAAGAAAAATGAGTTGGGATAAGGGGCTAAAGAGTGAGGTGGGTGGTGGAGGCCAAGGGGGGAACCCCATGGAGAGGGGACAGCATGTACAAAGGCCCTGGGGTGGCAGGGGCTATGAGTTGAACGTGCCAGCAGAAGATAACATACTTTCAGGCCAGCTCAGAAAAGTTTACTTACCACACTGTTTTCTAGGAAGCTACCTGAAGGGATGCCACGGGGAGGAGATGGCATGGAATCCAGGAAACAGTGGCTCCAAGCTAGAAGAGTGCAAGGTGGGCAGTGGGGATGCCCCGCTGGCTGGGGGCAGGAGGCCACGGGCCAGGGAGGGGACGTAACGGGAATGACTTGACTGCCAGAGAACGTCAGAACGTGATAGAAGCAGACGAGGGGAACAATAAGGCAAACACAATCTCTAGGGAAAACAAACGCCGTCCCAAGGATGATGCATTCCCAGCACGGAAGATGCTCTCGACCCAATCAGCCAGAAAGCAGTATGACAGCTCCAGGACAGAACCTGAACGCCATGGGCCCTGACCACACGCATGGCTAAACCTTGCCAGAGTCATCCGTGCTGACTCTCCTATCTGCTTCTCTAGTGACAACCCCCTCAGGCCTTCCCCGCCCCCAAGGGCCTGCTCTTGGCAAGGTTGACGACCAGGGCTGCCCGATCCGGGGGTCCAGCCTTGAGCCTTGCTTGACGTCGGGAGCATGAGACATGCTGACTTCTTTCCTAAGCCCCGGCCAGTCTCAGTTCTCTTCCTGTCTCATGAGAGCCCATCTCCTCGGGGGCCTCTCATCCCCCTGCCCCCTCAGAACATCGCTCCTCTGTCCACACTCACCGCAGGGCTCTCAGCCAGCACTTGTGTCCCAGCCTTCTCTCTCCAGGCCCTTCCCCAGGTGTGTCTGTCCGGTGCCTCCTGGACCCTCTCTGCCAACTGCACCCCTCTTCCTCTCACCCCCTCATCCCTTCCTCTCAAAACAAACCCGCAGTTCCCACTGGCTCTACTTTCAGATGCACCTGGAGCCCAGCTCCTCCTCTCACTGCTGTCCCCGCTGCCACTGCCCAGCCCCGGGGCCTCTTCAGCTCTGATGGCTGCGTCACATCCCCACGGGCCCCGATTCTGCCCCGACCAGAGCCCATCTTCAACCAGCAGCCAGAAACGTCCCGTTCCAACAGACGTGGGCTTGCCCAGACCCCGCAGGGCTCCGAGGAGGCTCCGTCCCTCACGCTGCCCCCTGCCCTCTGCCCTCCTGCCTGTGGTTCCACACCCGTCCGCCTGGGCTGTGCCCCTACTCCCTCCCAGAGGGCAGCTCCCCTAAGAGGCTTTCTACAGCCACCCTCGGCTGCCCCCATCATTTATGGTAACAGGAGCCCCAGTCCGAGCAAGGGTTCATGGCTGCCCACAAAATACACGATGCCCAGTTAATCTTCAATTTTGGATAAACCAATAATTTTTCATTTAAGTACGTCCCATATTGCATGGGACATGCGTATACTAAAAAGTACTTATACTAGAAGTCCTTGTACTTTTCATACTGAGAAGCGCTCACTGGTCTCTGTGTTTGTGAATCTGGCCGCAGGCCAGCAACACAGGCTGCGTCCCGCCTGCCTGGCAGCCAGGAGTGGCCACATGACAGAGGCCAACCAATGGGACATGAGCACTGTCTGGCAGCGCCCTGATGGG